GTCTGAGTATTTCTTTCTTGGATTTTGAAAGGAGCTCATACCGACATCCACAGAGCGTCTGGCCCCTTTGCAAAGAACGCCTCCTTTTTCACCGAAGGTTTTGAGAATGGATCCGGGGGAGCCCCGCTTACGCCGGCCGCACGGATATCAGCACTGAACATCGTCGGGGACCTCCTGCAGAAAGTTGGGGTGAGGCTTTGGGCCTCGGGTGGAGCGAGCGGAAAAGCTGGGTGTTTGCCCCCCACCCCCAGCCAGGCAGTGGGATCCCGGCTGACCCAGCGCGGTCTTTGCTCCCAGGCCCTGGAATCAAAACTGGCCTCCTGCCGAAACTTCGTCTACGACCAGAGTCTGTGCCGGAGCCCAGCGGCCCCTCCCCACTACTTGGGCAGGGACGGGTTCGAGAGGCGGCTGAGCGGCCCCCACCTGCCCCAGGGGTGAGTCTATAGGAAACCCTCCTCCCTGCGGGGGGCGGGGGGGGGAAGGGGGACTGCCGAAATCACGTGTCCGTGTGGCTCTAAAGGCAGTGAGCCACCAGAAGTGGCCGAGGGCTCCACGCTCCCCTGTCCCCCGGATGTGCTGGAATCGAATGGGTGTCAGCGGAGCCTTCAAGCCCAGATTTTTTCAGCCTGTTTGTGGAAAGACGGGCGTTCCCGGAGCCCCTGCCTCGGCCCAGAGTTTGACCCAGGGGGAGTAAAACTCCCCCACCTTCTTTCTATTTAAAGGCTTTGGCCCTGGGCTCAAGTGCGCCACTCCCGGCTGCTTAGTCCCAGCGGAGAAGCACCCTGCCGGATCGGGCCCAGGGCCAGTCTGGCTACCATCTGCAGGCCTTGGGGGAGGCCCCAGAGCGGCGAGGGAGCAGCCCCATGTCAGGGCCCCCAGGAGAACGGGGGACGCTGCCCACAGACACGGCCTTCTGCCACCTGGCACCCTCCAGGTGGCCCAGAAACTGGGAGGCGACCAGGCTGGCCTGATAGGAAATTGGGGAAGGAGAGCTGGAATCCTGGGCGTCCCAAGAGGGGTACCCACCCAGGGGCCTATGTAACCTCCCCTCCTCGTCTGGGGCGAGTTGGGCCTTCAGCAGTCCCGGCCCCTCGCAGGCGCTGAGGCCAGTGACCCCTTCTGATCCCACAGGCTGGCCAGGAGTGTGGATCTAGGCCCATGGCCACCCAACCTTGCCGGGCCGGCGGGCCTTTCAGCCCAGGGGGCAGCCCAGCGGCTCTTCTGAGGGACCGTGGGGCCAGCAGCCGGAAGCCGCTGTTCGCCTGCCACAGAGGAGAGCAACGAGAGGGCAGCTGGCTGCGTCCGCAGGAAGAGGGAGCCGTCTTGGGTCCCAGGAGGCTGAAGGGCCACACCAAGTGCCTCGCAGGAGGGCCGGAGGCGGGTTTTCCTTGCCTCGGACCCCTGCCCCGCCTGCCTCCCGTTGGGCCCCAAAGGCCCTTGTCCTTGAATGGGGGCAGCGGGTGCCTTCCGGGGGAGCCTCCGGGATTCCTAACCCAGCATTTCTGGACACCCCAAGTGCATCTTTGGGGCCTCCGAAGGAGCCCCTCCTGACGGGACCCTCCCTGGCAAAAGGGGTCGGGGTCTCAGGAAGCTCAGCGACACCAGCTTTCTCTGCTGCTGGAGAGGAGGGGGCCTGGCAGGTGCACCTGCCGAACGAATTTTAAAAAGCACAAGCTGCTACACTCCAGAGGTTTGGGACAAAAGCTCCCCTCATCCTTGGCCAACAAGGCCTTGGGGCGATGGGTGTTGTAATCCAACCCATTCGAAGTCTGCCATCCAACGGGTCTCCCTGGTGCCTCCATCCCCGTCTGAAGGGGCTTGTGAAACGTTTCTCAGGGGAGAATCCCAGGGGGGGGCTCTTGTGCACCGGGAAAGGGGTCTCGGGGGGCAGTTATTAAACTGGTTTGCCATGCAAAACTGCTGTCTCCAGATTGGTTTTTCTTGGCTGGAACCAAACCGAATTGGCAGCCGGGAACCTCCCTGCAAACTTGGCCCAAAAACACGAAGCAGCCTTCCTCTCACCTACTTTCCAAAAGGCAACAAGTTCCTAGTCCTCTGCCTGAAGAGACCCTGTTGTGAGTTGTCCCTGGGGTGCTTCCCTGCACACTTTGCACTCAGGCTCTTCTGATTTTTAACAACCTTTATTAATTGTGTGTGTGTGTGTGTGAAGCACAAAGGTCATCCCAAGTAGTGAGAGTTGTTTTCTCGTCCTGTCCCTCCCCCCCCTCCCTCCCCCCCCAAAGCAGTGACTCAAAAAGGCACTTGGGGTTTGGCAAATGTTGGGGTGCCTTCTGAAAGTCTGGAAGCAACAGGGAAGCACAAGAATTTGTGGGGGCGGGGAGCAAGGCAAGTGGGCTTTCTCCTAGGGCTACGGAGCAACTGTGGGGGGCGGCCCTGGTCTGGTTGCCCAGGCACGGCGTCTCCCTTGCAGAAAGGCAGCTGCGCGGCTACGACAGGCCACCACGGCTAGGAGTGTCTACAGCGGCGGGAGGAAAGGCAGCTGTGGTCGGAGGACGTGGCTTTGGGGCAGGCGAAGCGGCCTAGAGTGCTGCTAAGGGCCCCCCCCTTTCCTTTGGGGCAGCAGCCAAACGAGCAAGCGGGGTGGAGGGGCAGCTGGTTAGTCGCTGGGTTTTGTTCCGTTGAAGTTTGCGTCCCGGGGGTCTCCTTCCTCCTCGGAGCCTTCGGCAGCATTTTCAACCGACCGCCTGCCGCCACCAGCAGCCCCCGATCGGCGTGGGGGGCCGAAGGACACCGGCTCGTTCCCGCGCCTGCAGTTGGGAGAAAGACGGGTGAGGAGGAGTGGAGACTCCGGTGGGGGCTTCAGGGCAGGAGGTGCCACCTTCCGAAAGGAGAGAGAGATCCTTTCAGGGCCTCCGACCAGGAAGAGGCCCCGGAGATGCCACTCTGCCCGGGGGCTGCTGGCTCCCCAATTCCTTCCACGTTTTTCCTGCCCTCCATGTCTTGTGGCAGAGAGTTCCTTGGGTTAATAGGGCATTCCTCCGGCTGAAGCTTCCTGCTGGAGGCTTTCTGGCCCTTTCCCTTCAATTCCCCCTCCCCACAAACGCAGTTCGCCTTTTCCCTAAACTGAGAGGAAGGGCCACACGTTCTCCTTGCATCGGAGACCCCCCCCCACCGCTTTGATCAAGAACTGAGTCAGGGCAGCCTTTTCCGTGGCACATGGAGAACGGCACGGTGGCAAAGGGGCGGCTCTAACCACTCCGCTCCTGTGCAGGAACGAAAGAGGCCAGCAGAAAAGTGGGTGAAGTGCAGCAGCTGCAGCAGGAGTTTGGCTTAGCGCACACACACATTTTTCAGTGGCAGCCGCAAAGCCGAGTGCTGGTGGGGAGGTTTCCTGCGAAGGAGAACCTACAAATATTACAGAAGGGAAGCGGCTCAAGAGGCCCCGGGAGGTTTTGCCCAGTTGGGGCTGATGCATGAATTCCCATCTCAAGGTGGGGGAGACGGCGGCTGGCAGAAGCAGCCCCACCCTTTGCCAGGCACCAAGAGAGAGAGGAGCTTGGGGCTCGGCTGCCCACCTGAGCCAGGCTCCAAGGGCGCCAGCCCCAGCACTGTGCTTCTGCATTGCAAACAAGGAGCAAGCAGGCCTGGCCTGGCCGTGGGGTGGGGCAGCTGCCCTCCCACCCCCCCTGGTCCCAGGGCTGCTCATGCTTCAAGAGCACCTGGGGGAAAAGCACCGGGCCCTGGCGCAGCTCCGTTGCTCATGAAAGCAGCCAGGTTGCCCCCCCAAAGCTCCCACATGCATCGGGGGGCGGGGAAGCAGCTGCCACTCAGCCGCTCGGGGGCTGCCACTCCCAGGATCGAAGGGGGCAGGGCTTCGCGCACAGCCTGCATCCTGTGGGTGGGGCTTGGCTGGTGGGGTTTCTGGCAGGCTATGGATGGGTGCCAGGCCATGGACCGGGGCTCGGGGGGGGCCTGGAGCAGGCAACCAGGGGGCAGGAGCCTTCTAGAGAGGAGGCGCCTGCAGAGCAAACTGTAATATTGGTTTCTCGGAAGAAGCCGCGGCCCCCGAGAAATCCAGGCCTTCAGAGCTTGCCGAGGCTGGCTTGGATTTCCAGGGGCCTAACGGCCGGTTGGGGCTTTGCGATCACAAGCAGGCTGCCAGGGGGGAGGCCGGGTACCTGCTGAGTCACTGCGGAGCTTCTGGGTTCCCTCTGAAAGAGAGAAGCATCCCTCGACATCAGCCCCAGCCGGCGGCACCTTGGCAGGCGGGCAGAGGAGGGGCTGGTTGGGGGCCCCAGAGGAGAACGGGGTACCCTCAGCTGCCAGTGCCCGCCGAGCGAGAAGACCTTGGGTGGAGACGGGTCAGGGCTGCTGGGCAGGAGGGGCCAATGCCCGCGGGAGGCGCAGGGCCCTCACCTGAGCTTGCTCTTCAGGGCCACCATCTCCCGCCCCAGGGCCTCGTTGCTCTCCGAGGCCTCATCCAGCTCCCGCTGCAGCTTCCGGCGACTGGCGTTGATGCGCTGGGACTCCTCCTCCGCCTCCTCCAGCTGCCGCTTCAGCTGCTTCACCCGGGCACTGGCCTTGTCTGCCTGGGGTGGGGGGGGGAGGCAGGGGCTTCAGAGGCAGCCTGAGAGGACCTAAAGCGGCCCCGGTGTTTCCAGCAGAGGATGATGGGAGTGGAGGCTCCCACTCGGCTCTGCCACAGCACACCTGGCACAGCCGGGCACCCACCTGGTCCTTGTACTGCTCGGCCTGCTTCCTCTCGTCCTCCGCCTGCAGCAAAGTCTCCTTCAGCTTCTTGTCCTTCTGGCGCAGGGCCTTGGCCGCCGCCTGTTTCTCCCTGCAGGAAGGCAGGAAAGCGCTCAAAGGCGCTAGTCCACATGAAGCCCAGTCCGAAGGCCGGGCACGATCCTCCCATGGAGCCTCTGCCTTATGAATGGCGCCCAGTGCGAAGGAAGGAAAACTCGGGCATTTTAAAAAACATTTCCCAGTTGTTCAGGTCAAATCATTTCGAAATCGGCTGCTTTGTATTTCCACGAAAAGGGGTTTTATTGACCCAGAACAGAATGCAACGTTTAAAAGATGCTGTGAAACGGGGGGGGGGGGGGGGGGGGGCATTTTTTAGTTCCGCCTGAATGACTCCGTGATGGCACCTCCGAATTCTCCTAGGAAGCTTCCCAAGCCCAGGCCTGGAGGTTTGGTGCCAAACAGCTGGACCCCCAGCCGGCAAAGACCCCGCACAACGCAGCTGGGCTTTGGGTACCTGGACTCCTGCTCCAGTTGCTCTTCCAGCTGGCTGAGTTTGGCCTCCAGGGCCGAGATGGTGGCCTTGAACTTGGACTTGACGGCCCCCTCCATCTCCTGCAGCTTGGACCTCAGCTCCTTGTTCTGCCGCTCCAGCTGCTGGCGGGCGCTCTCGTTCTTCTGCGCTGCGGCCCGCTCCGTGGCCAGCTCGTTGCTCAGCTGCTCCGACTGGGGGGGGGGGAAGGAGCGGGATTTGCCGTCCGGAGCAAGTCCCGCCTTTGCCCTGCCCGCCCTCCCACCCTGCCACCCCCGGGGGGGGCTTACCTGCTGCACCGCCTTGCGGAAGCGGTCGCTCATGGCCTCCATATTGCCCTGCTCCTCCTCCAGCTCCTCCTCCACCTGGGAGATGCGGGCCTCCAAGCGGCGCTTCTCGTCCTGCAGGCTGGTCCTGGGGGGCAGTGGGGGATGTTGCACGGGGCCACCAGCAGCCGCTGCCCCCCCCCCCCCGCCCCCCCCCCCCCCCCGGTCCTGCTCATGCAAGTGGCTCTCCGTTTGGCCTCTTACCTCCCCGAGACAGAGCTGGCCAGCTCTTCAGCCAGGTCCTCCTTCTCCTGCTCGGCCTGCTTCCGGGCCCGCTCTGCGGCAGCCAAGTCCTGCCAAGGAAGAGGCTCCCTGAGCGCCCCTCTCTCCAGGCGGATGGGACTCCCGGGCGCCCCTTTCAGAACCGGGGCACGGCCACTTAAGCCGGCCCGAGAGGGCTCGATCTGGTCGGGTTCCCCCCGTGGGCACAGGAGAGGCCTCGAATGGCGCCTTGGCCCGGCTTCAGTCCTCCCCCAGAACCACCCGGGGGCGGCCGGAGTGACCCCCATGGCTGACACAGCGCAGGTCTTTCCACTTCAGCCCCTCACCGCTCCTCCACTCACATTCTCTCTCTCTCTCTCACCCCCGCAGCCGCATTCACCCACAAGCGTGTCCTGGGCGGTGGGTGTCCACGGAGCTCCTGGTAGAGCCGAATCCCCTCCCGGCCTCCCCAGCCTCCCGGCCGCTTACCTCTTGCAGCTGCATCAGCTCTGCCTCCAGGTTCTTCGCTTTCTTCTCGTTCTCCCGGGCGGTGGCAAAGACCTCTTCCCGGGCGGCCCGGGCATCGTCCAGCTCCCGCTGGAAGTCCTTCATCTGGGCCTGGGGGTGGGGGGTCACTCCTTAGCTCAGGCTCATTCCTCCTGCATCGCCCGAGTCACCCCCCTCCTCCCCCAGACGGCCCCCTCTTCTGGGACCAGTGGGGAGGGCAGGGGGGCTGTCCCCTGGGTGCATCTGGAGCCACCCCTGGAGAAGCGGGGGGGGGGGGGGGCTGGCCTTCCCAACCTGCAGTTTCCGCAGCTGCTTGATGGCTTCTTCACGGCCCTTGACGGCTGAGTCCATCTGCCCTTCCAGGTCTTTGAGGTCCACCTCCAGCTTCTTCTTGGCGGCCGCTGCCAGGCCCCGTTGCTTGCGCTCATCTTCCAGCTCTACCTCCAGTTCGTGGAGCTGGTGAAGGGGGAGGAGAGACCAGGAGGGGTGACGCCACGCAGCGTGGAGTTCTCACCCTGCCAACTCCCGCAGCCCTCAACGGAGGATGCCCGCCAAGGAAGGGGTCGCTTTCCCTCTGCCTGGCCTGGAAGGGAGGCCCACAACGGGAGGGGGGGGTGGGGCGGGGGCTCCTCTACCTGCTTCTGCAGCTGCCGGCGCTTCTCTTCGTTCTGCTCATCGCGGGCTTGCAAGTCCCTCTCGAACTGCCCCTTCAGCGCTTGCATGTTGACTTCCAGCCTCAGCTTGGCATCCTCGGTGGCCTGCAGCTCGTCCTCCAGCTCCTCCAGCTGAGTCTTCATTTCCTCCACCTGCTGCTCCAGGGCCCGCTTGGACTTCTCCAGGTCATGGACCTTCCCAGAGAAAAGGGCGTGAGAGGAGGGGGAGGGGGAGGGGGGAAGGAGGAGGAGGAGGAGGAGGAGCGGGGCAGGGGACTTACGTTCTTGCCAACGTCATCCTTGGAGCTCACAAGGTCTTCCATCTCTGCTCTCAGCAGTTTGTTGGCCCTCTCCAGCTCCTCCTTGGCTTCCAGGGCCTCTTCCAGAGCCCGGCCCAGTGACAGGGCTTTGGTCTCCTTCTCTCTGGCTTCGGCCTCGGCGCGGTCTCGTTCCTCAGCATATTTGGAAGAGATGTTCTTCTCCTCCGCCAGCATCTACGACAGTAGAGAAGGCGCTGGGGGTCACGTGAATGAAGCCTTAGCGCCAAGCTCAACGAGCAGCCCCCACCTGCTCTTCCTTCCCTGCCTACAAAATTCAGGTGACCGGGTGGAATATTAACAATGCTAGAACTGCTTCGATGGATATACTGAATTCATTTAGTGAAACCTTTAATTAATCAACAGGTGTCTTAATGGAGACAAACAGAGACTTGCATCAATGGACTGTCCAGTTGCACTGGAATATCGCTTGACAGGAGACGTCGGATCAAAGGTTTCCACTCTCACCTGGTCAAATTTCTTCTGCTTCTTCTCCAGGTTCGAAACCATCTGACGTTGGTTATCCAGGTCGACCACAAGGTCATCCAGCTCCTGCTGAAGCCGGTTCTTGGTTTTTTCCAGTTTGTCGTAGGAAGCCGCTTTTTCCTCAAACTGCTGGGTGAGGCCCTCGACTTCCTTCTGGAGCCTCTTCTTGCCTTCCTCCATGGTCTCAATGGTGCCCAGATACTCCTGCATCTTCCTCTTGGAGTCTGAGAGCTGCGGGGGGGTTCAGAGACAGAGCCAGGAGGACTCCTTGAGTCGGTTCAACAGGGCAGCCCCTCCCCCCCCCGCCATCGTCTTTCAAGGCTGGTGGGGGAGGGTCTGTCATTCCAGGGCAGGTTGGGTGCCTGCACCATTTTGCATCTTCTCTTGGGCGCATCGCAACAAAATGCCCTGGGAGGGCCCCACGTTTTGGGACACTAACGGGCAATGACCCATTGAGGTTGAGGTTGTAACCTTGCTTGCGGGTCGAGTCGGGCTCAATGGCCCATTGCGGTGGGTCTAAACGAGTGACGGAACCCAACCAACCTTAGGGATAAAGAGGCAAGGCGTAACCCCGCACGATCACAACTGCTCAGACCTGCACGTTTAACGTTGAAATCTGCCTCTCCAGATTCTGCTTGGCTTCCACCTCTTCCTCCAGCTGTTCCTGCAGGCCGTTCTTCTCGTCCTCCATTTGCCGGAGCTTGGTGGACAGGTTGAGCTTCTGCCGAGTTTCCTCCTGCAGCAGCTCCTGGGTAGCGGGAGAGCCCTCGGTGAGCCCCTTCCCCAAGACTCGCCCCCTCCTTCCCTGGATCGGAGCCCCTAAAGCCCCTACCTGGGTGTCCTGCAGCTGGGAGCTCAGAGTCACCACATCTTTGGTCAGCTTGATGCTCTTGCCCTCGGCTTCGTTCAGGAGAACCGCCATGGTTTCAGCCTCTGCCTAGGAAAAGGAAAGAGCACCGGGAACGTTGACCTGCCTTGTGCTTCATTGCCAGCCTTGACATCCGGTGTTTCCGGGAAAGTAGCAGCTAAGAACAAGGTGAAACGGCTCCCCAAAGCAACAGGAAGGCAGCAGGCGGATCTGATGGGAGGGCTGGAGGTGGAGCGAAGGCCCCCGTTCTCAGCAGCTGAGCCCGCTCTGAGCTCTCCCACGGAGCCCCTCTTGGGCGCCCAGCAGCCCCGACAGGAGAGAAGAGCCACGGTGTTCGTGGGACCTTGGCTGGACAGGATTCCCTTCTGAGAAAGTCCCATGGACGGCACAGCACCATGGAACCCCAGCTCTGCCTTCTGCCAGCCACGGACAAGGAAGGCCCGCAGCCGGTCGGGGGGATTCCCCGGCCGGCTGCTCTGTCAAGGTGGGGAAGGATCCCCCCCCGCCCCCTCCGGCGTTACCTGCAGTTTGTGGACTTTCTCGTTGAGCTCCGTCCGGACTCGCTCCCCCTCGGCAAACTTGGACTGCAGCTCCTGCATTTGCCCCTCCAGCTTCTTCTTCTTGTACTCCACCTCCTGCTTGGCCTGGCTGAGCGACCGGATCTCATTGCTCAGGTCCGCATTGCCCTTCTCCAGCGTCTGCTTGGTCTTGTCCAGGTTGGCCTTGGCCTGAAAGCACCAAAGGCGCTCAGCCGGGCAGGCGGGTGGGACGGGCACGGCCTCCGCGGTGGGCCCCCCTTCTGCCCGCCTGGGTTACCCGCTTGAACTGCTCCAACTGCTCGGCCAGCTCCTCCACGGCCTGGGTGTGCCTCTGGCGCATCTCCTGCACCTGGGCCTCGTGGGCTCGCGCCTCCTCCTCCAGCGCTCGCTTCAGGACCGTCACCTCCTGCTCCCTCTTCGCTCTGAGACCCGGCACAAAGGAGCATGAGGGGGGGGACCCCACCCTTCCCTGACCCCCCGCCCTTTCCACCGGAATGGCCGGCACCCATACAGGTCAGCCTGGAACACACACCCCCGGCCCCAGGCGGGTCCCGGACTCCCCCGTCCAACCTGAGCTCCTGCTGGGTAGCCGTGCTGTCCAAGGTGTCTTCCAGCTCCGTCTTGAGGGCCTCCAGCTCCTCGCCCAGGTCCCGCTTCTGCTTCTCGGCCTTGTTGCGTGCCGCTCGCTCAGAGTCCAGGTCTTCCTGCAGGTCCGAGATGTGGGCTTCCAACTCCCGGATCTTTTTCAGCGCATTGTTCTTCTGGCTCATCTCGTCTTCCAGCCTGGGTGAGGGAAGCCGAAAGGGGCTTCAACCGCAAGGCCAGCCGGCTTGACTGCCGAAAGGCTGGTCTCGTCTGGGGGGCATCGAGGGATTCCCACCGGCAGAAGGACCGGAGGAGGGAGCAGAAAGGAGGTCCCTGGTGGGAAAGCGACCTCCCGGCTGGCCAGGGGGGACCTCCCTCCGAAGCGTCCCTGGAAGACGAGCGGCCAAGTGCGCCCTCTGCACGCCCGCCCTGCGGAGGCCGCCTGGCCCCTTCCCTGTCCCGGAGAGCCAGCTGGGGGCGGGGGGAGGGCCCCACCTGGCCAGGGCGGCCTGCAGCTCCTCCTCCTTCTTGGCCAGCTGCATCTTCAGTTCAGCAATCTGGGCCTGGAGGTCGGCAATCTGCTCGTGGAGGTCGCTCGAGTCCCCCTCCAGCTTCCGCTTCATTTTCTCCAGTTCTTGCCGGCATTTCTCTTCCTTCTTCAGGCGGACTTCCAGTTCCGAAATCATGGACTCGTGCTTGTTCTTCAGCTTGGTCAGGTTCTTGGCTTTCTCCTCCTCTTCGGCCAGGTTGGTCGTCAGGTCGCTGACTCTTTCGTCCAGGAGCTTCCTTTCCTGGGGGGAGGAAAGAGGCCTTCCCTGAAGCCTGCGGCAGGAGGAGGGGGCCCTCGGGCAGGGGTGCCCACGGGGCATGGCCCACCGGCACCGAAGCCTGGCCTGTCTCCCAGGGGCGTCTTTGCAAGGCTGGCTGGCCGACCCGTCGGAGGCAAAGCAGCCCCCCTGCAGGACCGGGGGCTCGCCCACACGGGGGGGGGGCAGGGAGGGGGCACTCTCCTCATTTCCCTGGCCTCGTTTGGGGGCCGGGGGGGGGGGGGGGGGGGGTGAGCCGGCACCGACCTTGGAGAGCTTGTTGTTCTGGTCTTCCAGGACCAAGATATCGTCCTCCATCTTCTTGATCTTCCCTTCCGCGGTGACCTTCTCCAGCTGCAGCTTCTGCCTCGCAGCTTCCTCCTCCTCCAACTGGTCCTCCAAGTCCTTTGGGGGTCACAAGGGAGGGAGAAGGAGACGTGAGGGGGGAGGACCAACGGCCACTAACGGCTCCCGGCCCTGAAGCCGCCTCGGCTTCTTCCTCGCTCGGAGCGCTCGCTCTTTGGGCCCCCCGAAAGCTCCCGGGCTGAGCTGTCTCTGGGGCCCCCAACTCGGCCTTGCACACGGCAGGCAGAATTAAGGCTCCTCCGAGCCACTAGTCCTCGCAGAGGGAACCGTGCCGGCGTGGCTCTTCCCTGGCTCCCCCCGCAGCCTCGTGGGGCTTGAGGGACCCAGCTTTGCCCCCGGGGAAGCCGGCAGTGGGTGGGGTTCAAGCCCGCCCGGGTACCAGCATCTGCTGCTGCAGCTTCTTCTTCTCGGCCTGCAGCTGCTGCCCGCGCTCCTCTTCCTCCTCCAGCCGGGCCTCCATCTCGTGCAGGATCTCCTCCAGCTCCTGCTTCTTGGCAGCCAGGCGGATCCGCATCTCTTCGGCCTCCGCGTAGAGCTCCGTCTCGGCCTGCAGCTGCTCCTGAAGCAGGTTCTTCTCTTCGCTCAGCTGTTCCGGAGGGAGAGGAGGGCATTCAGACGGGGGGGGGGCGGCACCAAAGGATTGGGCTCAGAACGCCACGCCTGCACCTCCCGCAGCGCCCACCTTCCGGCTTCCCGGGGTCCCCAGCAACGCCGCGGACTGTGCCGTAGAGGTTGAGGAGGCAAGCGGGCCGGTCGGCCAGTGGCCCCTTCCCTGGGCACCCCAACCCCTCCACGGGCCAGAAGAGCTCAGGAGCCGCTGCCCCGCAAGGGTGCTGGGGCTGAGGAGGAGCAGGCGGGCTCACCTGGCTGTGCTTGAGCCCCAGCTCCTTCAGCTCCGCCTCGGCCTTGAACTGCCTCTCCTTCACCATCCTCAGCTCCTCGTCCTTGGCCTGCATCTCTTCCTCCTGCCGGGTGACCTGCAGCAGCGGCTTCACCTGCACAAGGAGAGTTGGTGGGGCCCCTCTGGGGCTCAGCCCGCCAGGGCCGGAGAGCGGGGGGGATGCGGCCCTCCCAGCCTCCCCTGTCACCCCAGGGCGGTCCGGCTCCCGGGAGTCTCCCCAAGGAGCAGCCACTTACTTTGGTGAAGAGTCTCCACCACTGCCAGTTCCTCAGCTTCAGGTAAGCTGCGCAGTTCCTCTGGATGACCTTCATGGCTGTCAGTTGCTGCTGCCTCTTGGCAAAAGCCCTGCAGAAGTGGAGCATGGAGCCTTGCACCTGGGGGGGGGGCCCTGCAGTGAGGCAGCCCCTCCCTCCATTCAGAGCCCCTTGGCACTCAAACCAGGGCGTGCGGGGCTGCCCTGAGGGAGCCTTACTTTCTGGCCAGGTGGCCCCGGCATTGGGCCTGGAAGGAGATGATGATGTCGGTGATCCGGAGGTCTCGCTCCTCCTCCAGGTGGGCCAGGACGCCAGTCCGGAAGAAGATCTTGCTCTGGCCAATCCTGAACAGGTTGGGATCCAATTCCAGGGCTTTGATCTATGGGAGGAGGGGGGGATGCAATATGCCGCTGGTCCTCGGGAGAAGCTCAAGGATTCTCCCACTTCCTCCCCAACAGGGCAGGCGCTGCTTGGCCAGCAGAAGTCCAACAGGTGGAGTTTGCGCTTCAGGTGCCAAGAAGCTGTTACTCAGGCACAAGAGCCTCATCGGGAAGGAAGTGAACGGCTGTTCTTATCCCATGGACTTTCGAACTTCAGCGCAATCCGTTCATGCCGGTCTCAACGAATTCCAAACTGGGATTCCCAGAGAGCAGCCGGGAGCTGCAAGGAGGCAGGGAGGGGGGAAACGCTCACCATCAGGATGCAGGCCTGCTTCCCGTCCATGAAGCCCTTGGGGATGGCGTTGGGAGCCAGGATTTCATACCTGTGGGGAAAAGAGCACCCCAAAAACCTGCCGTCACTCTCTTCGCGGCGGCCTTAAGCCCGGCTGAACTCTTGCCGGGTTCCATTTCCTGCTCCTGTCGTGGAGAAACACCTAGAAATAGCCCCCTCCCCAAACCACCAGACACCCCCCCCCCAGACGGCCCCGACCCCACAGACCTGCTCTGCTCATGTGGGGGGAAGGGGGGGGAATCCATTGGGTCAGCCTTGGTTTACGGCCAGAACGGCTCAGGCCCCCAGACCCTCTTCCGAAAGGGGGCTTCCCTGGTCTCCGCAAGGCTTCTGAAGACCCAGCTCTCTGGGGGAAGCTGCCCACCTCTCCCCAGAGGGGAGCTTTCCCTTGGGCCCCTGGCTCCTGCCCGTCTGGATGGGCTCCAGGCCCCCCTTACCGCTGCCGGAATTCCTGGAAGACGATCCTGTTTGGGAA